AAAGAATAAAATGATATCTTTTTCCATGTTAGATTCTTAGAATAATGTTGCTCTGATGGATCAGACCAAGAGAATGAAGCCTGAAATTCTTCCAAGTTACTGACATTTTAATGGAGTTATCCTATGGATTGTGATTTTTTTTTTTAAAGCAGAAACAGAATGATTTGGAAGCACACATCTAGAAAATGAAGGTTGCATTTCCTGTTGATGAGACATTTTTAATAGCAATGAGGATATTCTAGCCCCCAGTGTAAGTAGACAAACAAAGAAGGGAGTCAATAGGAGACTCACTGGGAAAGAATGACATGTTGACACATTAGGACAGAAGTCTCAGGTCCCATCACAAATCCCGACCCACGGGAGGTGGAGGACAGAGCTCCACCATAAATTCTTCTCTCTCCCCTGGGAACCACTCCGAGCTGCTATTTACATCCTTCCAGAGGCATCTGCTGACTGACTGCTGCGCTCTCCTCACAGCTCAGCATGAAGCAGAAACCAGCACAATAACTCATCCGAAGAGGACAGGCTGAAAACCCCCAAAAGCCCATACTGATGCCACCACATAGGCACTCCAACGGCACTCTCCCCCTCAGCACCCATCTCAGTAGCAACAACTGAATGCAGAAATCTTGAAAATGTTAAGCTTCTAACTAATTGCATCCAACAAACAATTGGAAAAGAGTTAAATTTTTTAAAACCTCTTTTTTACGGAGGCACTCCAAGGATTACCATTTGCCATTGAAAGAATCATAAGACGTCCCTCATATATGGTTGAATGAAAAGCAAAATTAAGACAGCATATCAAGAATGAACACCCTCTTATACAAAGAGAGGGAGGAAAAGGGGGATCCTTTCACATTTCTAGTGCTCAGAGGGAAAATTAATTTTCCAAGAGTATGGATTTGTGCCACAAACATAATATAGAATTAATATGGGGCAGTAATAGGGCATTAACGGGGACGCCAGGTATGCTAAGCAGAACTTGGTTCAATCGTTCCACAAATAAACAAATATTGAGTAATTAACACATGCAAAGCACTTCGTTGAGTATTAGCCCCCTTTGAGGACACAGAAATCTGTCTTTATATTGTCAAATCATAAATCCAAATAGATTTTGTTTATCTAAAATTATGAAAACTAAGAGGAACAGTAGCAGATTTCTACAAAGACAAAAAGGGATAACAAAATGTACAGGACTCTAACAATTAATGAGACAGAACGAATAGCAATACGCTCAAGCGACGCAGGGAGTTTATTTTCAGCTCAAACATTAGGCAACGTCATCACACGCATGGTTAAGTCCAGCAACAAGCTGCCAAAGCGACTGAAAAACTGCCGTCACTGGAGAGATGTGAGACTGCACGGAGAGACACCAGACAGCCCGAGGGCAACTAAATCAGGCATCCGAGGCGGAGAGGGATCAGATGGCCACAAAGGCCATGTAGATATTGCTCACACACTCTCCACAAATCTAGATTCTAAAAAGCACTCACCTGAAATTATCACCCAAAACTCAATCCCTCTTCCCTGAAACACTACTAAGGAGTCGTGCCTTGCACACATAATACTAATAACTATAATAACATATAACACTAATAAAACATATACAGAAGTCCCCCCTTATCTGAGGTTTTGCTTTCCATGGTTTCAGTTACGCATGGTGAACCAAGGTCCAAAAATATTAAATGGAAAATTCGAGAAATAAACAATTCATGTGTTTTAAATTGCCCACCGTTCTGAGTATCGTGATGAAATCTCGTGCCATCCTGCTCCATCCCGCCCAGGACATGACTCATCCCTTTGTCCAGCAGATCCACGCTGTACACACCACATGCCCTTAGTCACTTAGTAGTTAGTCTTCTTGGTTATCAGATCAACTGTGTGGTATCACAGTGCTTGCGTTCAAGTACCCCTAATTTTACTTGATAATGTCCCCAAAGCGCAACAGTAGTAATGCTGGCAATTCGGATATGCCAAAGAGAAGTTATTGTTGTTAATCTTTTATCGTGCCTAATTTATAAATTAAACTTGATCATAGGAAAAAACAGTATATGTATAGGGTTCAGTACTATCTGCAGTTTCAGGCATCCACTAGGGGTCTTGGAACGTATCCCCCACGGATAAGGGAGTACTACTGTAATACGAATATAATACATATACATAACAATACATGTAATACTAATATAATCATATGCTTTTAAACATACAGATATAGCAATATAGTCACAGATGTTTATAACCTCTAACAGTCAAATTTTAGGAAAATCAATTCAAATAATTGGAAATACGGTCATATGAAAAATTTTCTATTGCTATTTTGTTTTGAGCTAGTAAGGGGGCCAAACTACAAACTACAATAGTGACTTTAGAGTACCAAATCTCATCAAAAGCAGTCAACCCCTGAAGACTATATTAGGATACGTAAATAAGTGTCAAATACTCTGTTTAGACCATACAGAAATCTCTCCTTAGGAACACTGTATTATCAAGTGAAAACAGCAGGTTATAAAGAGTCACGATCCCATAGATATGAGATTATCAACACACATAGTGAGTGAGATATCTGAAGAATGGTCATCTAATGTCAACAGTGGAAATATCTGGGTAGTGGGATTTTGGATAATTTTACTTTCAGCTGTATGGTTTCTGTGTGATTTTTCTATCAGAACAAAACGATAAAGCTCAGGACGCAGACTGCTGGATTCAAATTTCAACTCTAAGCCTTATTGGCTGTGTGATCTTGAGCAAGTGACTTAAGCTCTCTGTGCCTCTCAGTGAACTCAGTGGGGATAAAAATGGTCCTACCTCAGAGTGCTGAGAGGACTAAATGCGTTAGCAGGCAGAACGCACTCGGGACAGTGCAGGGAACACAGCAAGCCCTTAGTGCACATCAGCCAGTAGCAGAAGCAGCTAATACTAAGCCAGCTCCTTGTAAAATTGACTTAGTGCGCTCATTAAAAGCAGCTGCAAAAGCAACTGTTTCGTGGCCAAGAAGTAAAAACGGAGCAAGAGGGCTGGCCCCGTGGCTTAGCGGTTAAGTGCGCACGCTCCGCTGCTGGCGGCCCGGGTTCGGATCCCGGGCGCGCACCGACACACCGCTTCTCCGGCCATGCTGAGGCCGCGTCCCACATACAGCAACTAGAAGGATGTGCAGCTATGACAGACAACTATCTACTGGGGCTTTGGGGGAAAAAATAAATTAAAAAAAAAAAAAAAAAAACGGAGCAAGAGAACCTCTCTGCTTACATCTAAATAACAACCAAAAAACCAAAAATAAAAACCTGGCAGACCAGCTACAAAGAACACGCAAGAACGTAAAGAAGAGATCCCTGCTTGGCCACCGTCACCCTCATCTCAGGAGTCAGAACGCACAGCTGACAGACAGAGCTCAAGAGGCCATTCAGGCAGCAGCTCGTGCGTGCGTCTGCGCTCTCAATTTAGCAGCAAAATGGAAGACATTCTAATGAGGTTAGCATTTGTAGGCCAGAAGATTCATCCTAATTTAAAAAAAAGAAATCTTTACATCACCTTAATCTACAAACGCTGGAACATTAGTTTTAAAAGGAGATTTCTATAAGATGAAAATTATATAAACACACACTTGAATTGTTAGGAGCTGATAACAAAAACGATGGATTATCCTGAACCCTGGATTCTCTTCCTTTGAGAGAAAGAGACAATAAACAGAATCAATAAGTGAATTAAATAGAATATAAGAAGGTGGTAAGAGCTACGGAGAAAAATGAAGTGAGTGCAGCAGGGAGGGAAGGAAGGAAGTGCTGACATTTTAAATGGGGTAGTGGCGCAGGTGACATCTGAGCTTGGCTCGGACAAGGGACAGTTCAACCCTCCTTGCTCCATAATTATTAGCTCTGATGAAAATTTTGATTGGGCTGAAAGCTCACAGTTAAGACAAGACATTGGTTAACCCCACGCTTCATTGTTCCTGGCAACCCCTTTCAACTTTAATGTTATGACACAACTTCCCCCTTAACAGACAGTCTGTTGGCATTCCTTATTTCACTTTCTAAAATCTAAAGACATGATGGCCCCGTGACTTAGCGGTTAAGTGCGCGCGCTCCGCTGCTGGCGGCCAGGGTTCGGATCCCGGGTGCGCACCGACGCACCGCTTCTCCGGCCAGGCTGAGGCCGCGTCCCACATACAGCAACTAGAAGGATGTGCAGCTATGACATACAACAATCTACTGGGGCTTTGGGGGGAAAATAAATAAATAAAATTATAAAAAAAATAAATAAAATCTAAAGACATGACTTCTTGAATAAATAATCTTCTCCATAAATATTTTCAGCAAACAAAAAGAATTCAGAATGAGAGAGAAGTCATCTGCTGTTTCTGGTAACCCAGAGTCCATTCCCCCATTTTCCAGTAAGAGAACCCAGACTTTCCTTGAGGCACCAAGCCTCCCCGCCTTCCAGCCACAGTGCTTCAGGTGGAGCCCCTACCTCTAGGGTAGGTGTATTACCTGGCCCTACCTGTGGGAGTGCCAAATCCCCCTGAACACCACATAGCATCAAGTTCAGGGGTGAGCACATGATCCAAACCAGGCAGTGAGAACCCACAGGCTCAGAGAGGTGGGGTGCAACTCGTGGGAAAGAGGTGCTCTCCTTCCTGGAGTTGGTAAGGTGCTAGAATGTAGGCCTTACAGTTGCTTATGGCACCATCCTTGCCACCCTCGGGAAAGGGAAGGAGGTGGGTCTGCCTAAAAATAAAGCCAATCTAGAGGTGAGCAAGCAAAAGAAAAGGTATGGAGTTGGGTGCCTCTGACAAGACATTTGCAGGACTTGAACTCTGCCCTGCCTTAAGATAGGCACCCCTTTACATTTTTCTCATAGCTGAGGAATACGTCTCCTTTTTTTCTTAAATCTTTTCAAGCGGGTTTCTGTCACTTGGCACCAATAGAATCTCGCCAAATACAAAGAAGCCTCCAGACACTGATCGCAGTGTTGTCCCTAGAAAGCCAACAACAGCATTTCCTTACCCGTTCCTGACCAGCAGTGTCCCAGATGAGGAATTTATGAAGTTCATTTCCACAAGCCACAGTTTTGGTCATAAAAGACGCCCTGAAAAAGAGAATCAACATCTCCACATTACCAATTACCCCTACAATCTTCACAAAGACTCTCGTTTCAAACAAGTTAAGGTTATGCCTCAGCAGGACTCCAAAAGCTCCAGTCCTGGGGGGGCCACTAAGGAGAAGGAAGGGCAAGCGTCCTGTCACCAAAAAGAAAAGATTCTGCATTTTCTGGGGTCCAACTGGAGGTTTAGCAGGGGGGAAAGGCAAATAATGCATTCAAAACACTGTTTCCAAAAACATTTATCTTCAATCGTTCTAAGATAATATGCCTGAAATCAGGAAAGAAAATAAAACCTTAGATTTTAAACACACACTGTTCTAACAGTTAAGAGTGAAAAGGGCAGCTGGCACTTGGGTGTGTTGCTGTTTGGGCCTTGCAACGGCACAGATAGAAAACTGCCTTACATATCTACCCACGCTATGAATCCAACACTAGTAGCAACGCAGAGAATACGAGATCTAATTCCCATCCTGCCAGCATAAATGCAGGGGTAAAGATCGGTAGCTTAACAAATATTTATCTTCTCTCCATGAAAAAGGAAAGATTTGAAATTCTCAGTAGATAATGTTATATATCATGATACTTTCTTTTTTGCATACTTCCTCTTAATAAGCTTTTCTTTGTGCTCATGAAAGATGTAAAAACCTAATACAAGGAATGTTTAATACCCTTGACTTTTTTTCTGTGAGATAAAGCTTCCCATTTATTAAAAAGGAGCAAGCATCCCCAACAGTGGGACAATAAGACATGATAAGCCCCCTGACGTGATGGAATAAGAAGTACATATATCACCTATGCAGCATTCTGGCCAAAAATGTTTAATCTGAATTTAATCATGAGGAAAGAATCAGGCAAATCTAGAATGTGGAACATTCTACAAGACAACTGGCCTGGATGCCTCAAGTAAGTCAATGTCATGAAAAGCAAACAAAAGACAGGGAAACTGTTCTAGAATCTAGATTAAGAGAGAAGAAAGAGATAAAACAACCAAATGTACTGTATGGACCTTGACTGGATCCTGGATTAGAAGGAAAACAGCTTGAAAAGACATTTTGAGAACAATTGGAGAAATTAAATTTAGACTGTCAGGAATCACTGAATCAAAATTAAATGTCTAGGTCTGATAATGGTGTCTGCATTATACTCCTTTTCTTAGGAGATGCACACTGGAGCTTTTAGGGGTGAAGGGCCAGGATGTCTCCCCTCACTTTCTCATGGCCCAGCTGGCCCACCCGGTCCAGTGTGGAGTCCCGCCCTGCACCCCTCAGCACCCTTCCTGGAAATATTTCCTCAACGTCTCCTACTTTTCCCCAAGACTAAGAGACAAACCACAGAAGTCCCAAGGAGAAAAGCATATGTCCTTGCAACTCCCGCACTATCCCTATAACATACATACACACACCAAAGGTTAACAGTTAGAGAGTTCTAATTTTCCACGTACAATTGCACTAAATGGAAATTCTCAGTATTTTTCTAAGTGATAGGACCCAATATTATCAAAACCCACATCTGTCCCATGACATTTCATTTCTTTAAAAGTGCTTAAAATATACATCCCAGACTACTGATAAGAGCAAATATATTCCAAAAATGGAAATATCTTTATTACTTTTCCCATTATAAAAGCAATATATGTACAAAAAAGAAATTCAAAAAATGAAAATGAAGGAAATAAAACTCAATTGTAATATCACCACTTAGCCACAATCACTGCTAATAAGTTGCTATATGTCCTTCCAAATTGTTTTCATACAACTTTTAGCTCCCAAATTGATCATACTTTACATAACTTTTGTTTCTCCTCCACTTTATATATCATGGACATCTTTCTATTTCTATGAATATAGATCACCATCATTATCTAAAATGACCGAGTATTACACACCATGTTATAGATTTACTCAACTACCCCATTGATGGGCATTTTGGTCACCTATTTTTCTCTATTATGACAATGATTAAATGAATATCCTTGTGCCTAAATCTTTGTGTTCTTGTACAACTATTTCCTTGGACTTAATTCTTAGAAGTAGACACGCTCTACTTTGCTACGTTTGCCAAACTGTGGGTTGTTTCAACCTACATGCCCATAGTAGGGTGTGAGACGACCTTTTCCCCAACCAATACTAATCTTTCACATCTTTTCCAGTACGACAGGTAGAAAGTGATATCTCATTCTTGTGTTTATTATGCTTATCAGAAGTCTGGCCATCATTTTCTGGCCATCAAGTGTTGATTGTTCACTTGTATTTTTCTTTTGTAAATCTTTAGTTCATGACCTTTGCCCACTTTTCAGTTGGAGTGTTATCCTTTTCTCATGCACTTTTTGAGTATTTTATACTAACCTTTTGTAACAGTATATTTTCAAAAATATTTTTCCAGTTTAATCTTTGCCCTTTAACATTGTTTATGGAACTTTTTCCATAAACGCCTTTTAAAATTTTATGTAGACAGCTATATCAATATTTTGTTTTTGTGTTTATTTTTGTTTTTGTTTTTACTTTGATGTAAGCCAGATTTTCATTCATTCCTCACTATATTCTAGGCAAAGGGATAAATAATACATCAACCCCACCCTTAAAAAGTTCTCAGGCTTAGAAAACTAAGTTCATGCCTTTAAAATCTTAGAACCATAGACTTTTAGAGCTGGAAAAAACATAAATTATCCAAGTCAACCCCTTCACTTTACAGATAAGGTGGGGGAGGCTGGAATCTGAGACCCAAAAGACTGTCTTGTCCCTGGTCAGAGAAGAGCCTCACGGCACAGTTGGGAAAGATGTAGAGGCCCTCACAGCCAGCCCGAGTCGGGTGAGCACTCAGAAAGCCCCTGAGTTTCCTCCTCTGGGAAACAGGACCCATATCTACTCTGCATGATCTGGAGGGCCGTGGTAGGGTCAAACAGGAAATGACCCCTGTGAAATTCACGACATTTTAAAAAATAACACCTAAAGCTGTGAAATTCTCCCTTGCTACATGGTAAGCCCTGAGGAACAGTTTTAGTAACAGAAGTAATACATATCATATATGTATATTGTGTGTATATATATTGTATATGCACATATATAATACACACACACATATATACACACACGAGCATGCATGCACACACTCCTCTCTATTCCTGATTTCTTGCAACTAGGCGAAGAACTATCAATATTTGAAATGAAGATTGACAGTCATTGCTCTTGGGGTTTTTTCCAGCCCCTTTGCTAGCTTCAATCTTAAGAACTTGAGGCATCTTTTTTTTTTTTTTTTT